GCATTCCTCTCTGCTCTCTCACATTTAAGCAGCACCTGGCTTAAAAAATTCGAAGATGAATTTCTATTCTTGCTAAACGTATCTTTATATGCGCTGGAAATGCCACACTTCACCATCAAGGACCACCCCCCCTCCCCGAATTTTACTGTCTCCTAGGTCTCTCTCTCCCACAAAGCTCGGGCAATTTAAGCTCCAACAGGTGGTTAATTATTCCCATGGTTGCACCATGCCCAAGTGGTGAGGCCCAAAACCCAGCCTCCTTCCATCCCACCTCCCACTCCCCAGACACTGGAATTTCCAGAGCCCCCTGATGTGCCTCCTCCATGCACACTTCCCATTTACCATCCAGGTCAGATGCCCCATCCCTCCTCCCACCTCCCCCTCTCAGAGATCTGCACTCTCTCAGTGGGAAGACGGCCCGAAGCTGTTGGCAGATCCGTTTGCAGCTCCCTGCAAGGGGAAACATAAATGCAGGTATCCTTTCCCCAAAACCCCAGACTCTCATGTCGGAGAACCTATGAGCCAGGCTTGGGTTGTACAGTTTACCAGCTTTCTGGTCTTCTCGACAGACCCCTAAACCTAAAAGAGGAAGATAAGGAAAATGGACTCCAAATACAGTTTGAAATCATTCAAGTATCTGCTTTAAAATCCTCTCAGATATTCTCATCTTCACAGTGGTGTGTTCACAGGACAGTATGCATTGGTCAAAGCTCACAACTGTACACTAGGGACTTCCCTGGTGGCGCAGTGGTTAAGAATCCGCCTGCCAGTGCAGGGTACACGGGTTTGAGCCCTGGTCCGGGAAGATCCCACATGCCTCAGAGAAACCAAGCCCGCGAGCCACAACTACTGAGCCCACGGCCACAACTACTGAGCCTGCACTCTAGAGCCCACAAGCCACAACTACTGAAGCACGCGCACCTAGAGCCTGTGCTCCGCAACAGGAAAAGCCACCACAATGAGAATCCCGCGCACTGCAACAAAGAGTAGCCCCCGCTCGCTGCAACTAGAGAAAGCCCGCGCGCAGCAACAAAGACCCAACACAGCCAAAAATTAATTAATTAATTAATTAATTAATTAATTAATATGTGGGGAAAAACGTATAACCAGCATCCTACTTAATGGTAATAGACTGAATGCTATCAGTAAGGAGGCAAGGATGTCTCAATAAGGCCTAGAGGTCAAGAGGTGCCCAAGGTTACACATTTAAGGCTTGTAAGTGGTAGAGCTAAGAGCTAGGATCCAAATTCAAGCAGCCGGGCTCCAAAGATCCAGTGATTTTAATCATGACACTGTGTTGCCCCTTGCTTAGTTAAATATGGGACAATAATCCATTTGTCCCAGACACCAAAACATCAACAGGTTATCTACTTGTGATAAGGTGAGAGATCTGGGTTTCCCCCTTTCTATTTCCCTA